TGAACAGTATGAAAACAGATGCACATCAAATTAATTTCCCATGATCCAAAGATACATTGCTAATGGCCAATTTGAAAGTATAGGCTTGAACAGTGTCCCCCAAAAGTTCACATACATTTGGAACCTCAGAATATATGAAAACTTATCATAATTGGGAAAAGGGTTTTTAAGGTACTGTTAAGATGAGGCTGGGTCCTAACTCCAGTGATTGATGTCTTCATAAGGAAACCATGTGAAGACCCATATGGAGGATAGTCAAATGATGACAGAGGCAGAGATTGGTATGAGGCATCTACAAGTCAAAGAATAACAAAGATTGCTGGCAGCCATCAGAGGTAAGGAGAGAGCCCTAGAACAGATTCTCCCTCAGAGCCTCCAGAAGGAGCCAACTCTACTGATAACCTGATAGTGAACTTTTAGGTGAAGAATACTGAGGAAATAAATTTCTGTTGTTTAAAGTCATTCAGATTGTAGTATACTGTTATAGCAGCCCAAGGAAACTAACTCAGTTGAGTATAGGAGAGTTTGCTCACTTACCATTATTTAACATGAACTACTTTTCACTCCAATTAAAAATAAACTAAAGGAGGCGGGGCTTGATGGTAGTTAGGGTGGAAGTGTGGTGTAGTTTGCCATCAGCCAAACCACAGAACACCAGGCAAAGCAGATCCAGGACAGAGCTCCAAAACTAAGAACCACATAGCTAGGAATATTTTAAAAGTTTGAAGGCTTATAGCTAGTGGAACTTAAAGCTGAAGTAAGAAATCACGTATTTCTGAATCTGCCAGGCTCAGAGGCCTGGAGCCTACATCCTGGGCGAGACTAAACGGCAAGACCAAGCAGGGGAGCAGAAACACCATGGAAAAAAGCCACGGGAACCTTGGAATAAAAGTGAACAATCCACTTTGTTGGTTTTGCTTTGTTCTGATTTTCCTATTTTTGGGTATCTGGTCATTGTCCCACCCCCCACCCACTGTTTGTGCACTTCCATTCTGGTAATTACAGGGGTTGCCTGAGCGAGTGCCACACCCCATCCTCACCACTGGTGGGTTCTTCTGCCAAGCATGTGCATAGATATTCAGCCCAAGAGCAGGCCCTGAATTTTACTTAAAAAAAAAAAAAAAAAAAATACGGGAAA